AACGATAACAAACCGCGCTAGATCAAACCGACACAAAAATTAGTGTTATAACCTCGTTATGCTCCTAACCAGATTATAATAAATTGATAGTATGATACTTATATGTTTCTATATCTAACCAAGATTAGATTATAGTCCAAGAGTTCATCACTCATTAAGCTATTCTTTTTCTTGACCCTGGCCCCTCACTTGTAAAAGAAGTTACAACTCTCTGGGTATTAATCTTAGAACCAACTCCAACTCTACTTCAGAGAAATACGAAGGGATTTTCCCATCCCACCTAAAACAAATATTAAGCTTTATCTAACTATCATCTGCGTATAAGTCATTTTTTGATATATCCACTAATTCCTTCAGATGCATAAGACACTGTCTAAGGAGTGTCTAACAGAAGTTAGTGTAGATAAGTATAAATAATAATTAATGGTGGCCTTACACTGCATAATTTACATAGTCGCAATGGAGAAGATAGAAAAGAGAAGACCCGTGATTCTACACACTTCAAACCTACAAGAAGTATTTCATTCTTTCGTCTCTCCTCATTGCATTATACACAGCTTGAACCTGTCAAACCAAACAACACAAATTCTCATCACATTAATTTTCAACTCCTAACTTTCTCACATCCTCTCTGTAAATAAGGTTTGATTCTCTATGCTTCTTGTGCCTATAAACCCATATGGATTTTCATATGTGTATGTGTGTGGGAGAGAGAGGGAAGGAGGGAAAAGGGAAAAACCTGCTCACTAGAGACGACTTGGATAGGGCCAATATTCACCGACACATATTTTCCTTTGCTTGATAAAGTCTGCTTTACACAGTCCTAAAATGGAGGAAAAACATATTTGCAACATTAGTAGGATACTCGTGTTCTCGGTATAAGAATATTGCTTGAAAGACACTACATAGAAATATACTCTTATTTGATTATTTGATAAAATAAATAGTTCACATCCAAACATAACAATATGACAGAATAAACATTTAGCAGCTATACTGCAGAAGACAAAGTATAGACCAAAGCAAGAGAACAAAAGTAAAGAAAGCCAAGTAGTGCACTTGTATACATGTTCTGTTTGTAATTATCAAGCCAGTGGCCAAAATATTGTATAGAAGACACTAGCAAATATCGTATCAAAAAAAGATAGTATAAGCCGGTAAATCATCTAGATACTTTTAAGAGGACGAAATATTACCTCTGGAATTTGTCGGTCAATAACAGATTCAACAGCAACAACCATAGCATGCACAAAGTCATTGCCACCAGTCCCAATTGCAGTAAACCCTCTTTCTGTTGGGTATGTATTGACCTGGCAAGTAAAACACCAGCTTTGAGTCAGCCAATATCCATCTCCTTCTTAAATTTCACATACTGAATGCATTCCAAATCGACAAGGGGCTTCATAAATACCAACACATAGTATTTGAACGCAAAGTGAACAGCAACTCTACTAGAAATTGACCAAACAAGAATAAAATATCGGAATGGGATACCTTTTGGTCAAGTTCGAGCCAATCTTTAGCAGAATCATCAGCCACAGTGCCTCCAATAATCATGTTAGTAGTTTTCCCAACCCTCCCATCAGTCTTTGACACTTCTGCATCCCACCAGCAAAATGAATGAAACAAGGGAAACAAAAGTATCAATAAACTAGCACTCGTGAATTAACATCATCTGTCTCTTTCACCATTCCAGCTTAATTAGTAACTCTAAAATAATCTAAATTCCTAGTGAATCACTACAAGTGTAGGAAGAGTTAAATTGACACAACGGAACAGTTTTTAACTTCCGACTAATGGCCGGGAAATACTAGTACGTCAATCGAATCTAAAAACTCCGTCTCCTATTCACCAAGGATCCAAGCATCCGATAATCAAATCCATTTCGGCCAAACGAACAAAACCACAAAAATTTGAGTTACTAGGAAGAAATTAACGAAGGCGCGCACCTGAGATTGCCTTGAGAACAGCTTCTTGAGGCGGACCTTGATCGGATTGATCGTTATGGCTGCAATTAAGCCGAGTAGCCCGCTCGGGAACAGATGCAAAACCATTGAAACATAGACTCTTTGGCGCCGGGAACAAACCATGGACCGGAACTGATGCTGGAGAAGGAGGGAGAAAGAAGCATCTACGTGCGCCGGAAGTCCGTCGAGATTCCGATACGAAAACGGAACGCAAAATCGTTTTGCAAGCCATTTTTTGAAGCTTCTCTTTGGAGATGAGTCGAACGAAAAAAAGACACAACGCTGCGTTTGGTTATTTATAAAATTTCTGGCGTTGGCGAGGGATAACGTAAAGACAGTTATGCCCATAGGTTTTTGTCTTCTGTTACCATTCGCTTTGGGGTTATTAGAGTCTTTCACTAGGCCCATTTGTGCAAGCATTTTAATTAAAGTTAGCAAGTGAATCTAATCTAATCATTTTAATCAAAGTTAGCAAGTGAATCGCACACGAAATCATCTTAAAGTGTGTTTAGTTAAGAGTATGTATTAAAGTACGTAACAAAAAGTACATAGCATATAGTTGAGAATACAGAATTGTTGCAACGGGAAATTTTCTCCTACCTTCTTTAGAGTTTCACTTCTCATAGGTTATTCTTACAGGAAGTTTCAGCATCTTTCTGTAAATAAGAAACTCATAGACATCGTGCAACACAGATAAGAAGAAACTAAAAACCGATATGAAGAGACAAAACATCCTAATAATAAAGTAAACAAATAAATTTGTTGGTACTATAGTCACAAACGGTTACTCTTCAACTTGGTACCAGGAAATGTAACTAGGTGTTTCAGTGTGCAGGCATTATTTCTTACGGAATGCTCATCACTACTATGGCTTTAGGCTTTATCTGGCAGGAGGTGGAGGGCCAAGGGATTTTGCCATGCCAACCCAAGCAACAATCCCACAAGCGAGAATTATCCAACCGCATACATCATAAGTGAATTCAGTGTTCCTCTTCTTCTTCTTACTACTCTGCTGCAAAAGCAAGGCAATTTCTCAGAGCAACCACGAAAACTTATAACCCACATATGATATGAGATTCTTTCACTCTCTGCTTATGTTCTTCTGAACATGCTGCTACTAGATAATAAGAAGATGACACTTTTCAAAACATTGGACAGCATACTTAAACACATGATAACTTACGCTAACATTAGATGAAGCCATTCCTCCTCCACCTCCTCCTCCTCCTCCACCTAGTATTTGCTGTCCCATTCCTTGATTCATAAACTGCATATGCAGTTCCGGGGCCTATTCACATAGACAGACAAAAACATGAGCTCAAATGTAAAAGAAATACAGAAGAAGAAGATGGAATAAAATGTTCTCTCCTTGTTATTATAACAGCAGCAATTGTCTCCATGATTAATGTTATAATTTGCGTACACAAAGATTGACTCTGAAAATGGAATGTTGAAATAATACCTTTAGTGAGGAATCCAAGGACTTGCGATATGTGTCATTACCTGGATCCTGAAATAATATAATAGTAAGAAGTTGGTCTCACAGCACTCACAACAACATAAAAGTTTCAAATTCAAAAGCATAAAATCTGAAAATGCACCTCATTTTCTGCTCTCTGGAAATATTCAGTGGCTTTATCAAAGTGCTCTTTTGCTTCTTCAGGATCGTGAACATAAAACGCGTGGGCGGTGTACGCGTTGGCAATACACCAAAGAGCCTGATGCTTCCCTGGATTTATTGTCAAGGCCTCTTCCAACTTGGAAATAGCATCTACATGATCAATAATATTTCGTTACATTTCAGAGCAAAGATGAATTTGAGGCGTTTATTTTAAGACATTAAAGAAGAGATCATACCATTTAACATGAGCTTAGCTTCAGGAATAGGCTGGAACTGTGAAAGTTCAAGTAAAGCTCCACCCCATTTCAGCAGATTCTACAGAAAATAAAAATGTTCGCAAAGGTATTCTTAATATGACCACATATCAAAAGAAACTCAGGAAAAAATGTAATTTCAGAGAAACATATAATCAATCTCATAACATAAATTATAATATTTCCATCGAATTCAAGACCTAAACTACACATAGTGACAATACATTCACGAAATCCATCTCCACAAAACATCCTTAATATTCGTTACATATCAGGTCCGATCATATTAATCGAAATGAAGCAATTTCACAAATTCTGAGGAGAGGGGAGGACAAGTAGAAGAAAGAAACCTCGGAATCAAGAGGATCGTTCTTGTACTGAGCCTCAGAATTTTTGCGAGCATGTTCGAACATGATAAGCCTTTCAAAGTCGGCGGTAGAGAACTCCATCTTCAGATTCAGGTGAAAGAAAATCTAGGGTTCGGTGTTTTTGTTACTGAGAAAAGTCTAAAGAGTTGTCTCGATGTGAAACAAGTTCCGAGGGTTTTAGCCTACAAGTCGGGTGTTACCAGCACATAATTGGGCTTTTTAAGCCTACTTATCAAGATAAGTGGCCCAGAAGGCCCATATGAACAAATAGTACTTTAATACACTAGTTCAACTAATGTATTCGCCGATTAGGGTTTCTTCTGTTTCACTATATATTAAGTGTCTCCAACTACTGAGATCTCTATCCTCTCCGTCCTCTGTTCTTCTCATTGGCCGCCATGGTAAATGCGTTACACTAGACTCGTCGTTACAACGTTTTCACTTCTAACTTATGCTCCTATACTTATGTTCTTCGTCTTCTTATTGTTTTTCTTCAGGTGAAGTACTCTCAAGAGCCCGATAATATCACCAAATGTAAGAACACTTTCATAGTCTCTGTTATTTTTTGCTTCAAGCTACACTGTTATTGGCTTACCTCAAGCTATGCAATGAGTATTCATTGAAATGGTTTCGATTGGTTTTGCGTTTGCAGCTTGCAAGGCGAGAGGAGCCGATCTCAGGGTCCACTTCAAGGTAAATTTCTTGTACTGATTCCGGATCTCAAAAATGAATTAGATTAAGTGATTTTCCTATGGGGATTAAGCTTGTAGTTTGAATAAAACCTGATTAACAAAAAGCAGGGTTCTGTTTTATATAACAGACCTCACGTAAATGTCAGGAAAATCGAATTGGTCATTGTGAATGGGTGAGCCAATGTTACTTCTAATAGCATATGGTTCAGTACATGATGGTACATTTTAGCTTAGCTCTGAATCCTTTTTCAATTTTCAGTATTGTTGATTAGGTCATGATTGTAGTATCTGGGTTTGTATAGATGTAGTCGTTCAATAATTTGCAATACACCAAATCATTTACATTAGGTTTGAGGTGCTAAATGTTACTGTGCCATTAGGTAAATAATCACACTGAACAGTATTGTTGTCATTCTAGTTTCATTGTTGATGATTTGGATGTGTCTAATTGTGTTTTTGAATTGAATATGTATGAAACAGAACACTAGAGAAACAGCGCACGCCATAAGGAAGCTACCATTGAACAAGGCCAAAAGGTACTTGGAAGATGTCATAGCTCACAAGCAAGCTATCCCCTTCACCCGTTTCTGTCGTGGTGTTGGTCGTACCGCTCAGGCAAAGAACAGGCATTCGAACGGACAAGGTCGCTGGCCTGCTAAATCTGCTCAATTCGTTCTTGATCTTCTCAAGAATGCTGAGAGCAATGCTGAGGTTGGTTTTATGACTCTATTTGTTTTGTTGTCTTGGTGATTTTAGTTAGTTTACTAAAAAAATTTGTAAACCATTTGGTTATCAGGTCAAAGGTTTGGATGTCGATGCCCTTTTCATTTCTCACATCCAAGTGAACCAAGCCGCAAAACAGAGGAGAAGGACATATCGTGCTCATGGAAGAATCAATCGTATGTCTTCTTTTCTATTCGACTGTTTTTACAACGTTTGTTTCTTCATTCACATTGTGCTGACTCTCGATTTAATTCTATCTTATGCAGCTTACATGTCAAACCCATGCCACATTGAGTTGATTTTGTCAGAGAAAGAAGAGCCTGTGAAGAAAGAGGTAATTTAATGATCCCAACGCCTCTCTGAATATCTTCAAATACTTATATTTCATCTTCATCACTGATCTCACATAATTTTTGTTGGGTTCTTGCACAGCCGGAGACACAGTTGGCAGCAAAGTCAAAGAAAGGAGCCTCATCTTAAGCTATAACATAGACAGTCTATTTGTGCTCACTTGTGTTACCCTTAATACTTTTTGTTAGCTTCTCTCTATAAGACCAATACTCAATTTTTAAGTATGATGATTATCGGTTTTTGGATTGCTGAAAGAATCTCTCTTTATCCTTGGTATTGATAGATGAATAACTCATAGTAAAATCTTGAAATATGTTTTTAGAGATGGATTAGTTAAGACTTGTTAAATCGTCGCCCAGTTTGTTCATAACGCTCATTAATATAATGACCAATACATCGGCTTCACAGTCTGATAAAACGGATGGATTAGTTTTGAACTCGAGAAAGTTCGAAATGTTATGTTACGTAAGAGCAAGTAACACTTTCATTCGTTTGTAAAACCCAAAACAGACCCAATCATAAATCATCATAAACGGCCCAAAAGACGGAAGGAATCATCGTCACTAAGTGGGCAAACAAAAATGGTGAAACTGCAAAACACCTGCAATTTCAATTTTCAAGGAATCCGAAATGGAGAGTGGTCTGATATCAGTGGATCGATGGAGAAATGGAAGTCAAGCCTACTTCTTGACTCATATGCACTCCGATCACACTCGTGGCCTCTCCGGCGGATGGTCCCAAGGTCCTCTCTACTGTTCCCGCACCACCGCCTCTCTATTTCCCTCCCGTTTCCCAGGTTTCGACCTCTCCTTGCTTCGCGTCGTCCCTCTCTTTTCCTGGACATCTCTCTCCCTCCGCTCTAATTCCTCCGGCTCCACAGTCCGCCTCCATCTCATGGCCATCGATGCTCACCACTGTCCTGGTATGATAAAAGTCTAATCTATTTCTATATAAGGCTTCGCTTTCTCAGTGGTGAAATTTGAATTTGCTGGTATAATGTGGTAGGATCCATAATGTTTTTGTTCCGGGGAGATTTCGGATGTTTTCTCTACACTGGAGACTTCCGGTGGGATTCTGATGCATCAGACGAAGCTAGAACCACTCTCGTTGCTGCTATTGACGAGTTTCCAGTCGACATTCTCTATCTGGATAACACTTACTGCAATCCAATTTACAGTTTTCCTTCCCGTCAAGTCGCTGTTCAATTGGTTCGACCTAAACCCTAATCCAAAAGCCTTAAACCCTGAATCATGTTTCTCTTTGTTATATTCCTCATCTCCTTTACTTGCAGGTTGCTGATATAATTGCTTCTCATCCTTCACATGATATCATCATAGCAGTTGACTCTTTGGGAAAAGAAGACCTCCTTGTTCATGTTTCCCGCATTCTCAATATCAAGGTTTCTTATAGTAATCCTCTGCTTCCTTCATCATACTCCAAATGGATTAAGAGTTGAGTTTCTTTTCTTTGTATGTCCTTTAGATTTGGGTTTGGCCAGAACGTCTTCGTACCATGCATCTCCTTGGTTTCCAAGACATTTTCACTACTGATACATCTCTTACAAGAGTGCGGGCTGTCCCTCGTTATAGTTTTAGTATTCAGACTCTCGAGGGGCTGAATACGATGTGCCCAACTATCGGTATCATGCCTTCAGGTCTCCCATGGGTGAAAAGACCTTTCAAAGGAGATGACAAGCTCTCTGGTTCTTTTCTTACTGCAAGTATGAAGAATGAAACCGTTTCTGCGAAGAAAGAATTAGAAGCAGCTGCAGTGCATAAGTTCCATGACTATATGTACTCGGTGCACTACTCTGATCATTCATGTTATGAGGAGATTGGAGAGTTTATAAAACTTGTGAAACCAAAGAGCATGAAAGGAATTGTGGTGTCATCATCATCGTATGTTGACCCTCTTTACTACTTTGGGCGTATCTGTGGAGCCAACCAACCGCCACAAGTGCTGCTTATGAGGCCTGACATCGCAGAGGAATTTCGAGCTGTTAGGATTAAGTCATATTCTGCAAGTGACAAGACTAGAATGTTGGCAAAAGAAAAAAGGTGGAAGCGAGATAGTCATTCAAGTTTGAAGAGAAACAAGAAGAGAGCACGTATCCAAGTAAAGTGCGCAAAGATTTTAGAGGTTGATTAGCTCTACTTGCCTCTGGGTGGTGTCTCACGTTGATGTGGCGGCTTCTTTTTCCTCAAGGTTACAATGGTGTCTATGTGAATGGTCTAATACACAATCCTTTTCTGTGGGAGGAGTAAGTAAAATTTAAGATAATATATGAATTATTCAGTTGAATAGAAAGTCACTATCTTTTAAAAAGTAAGCAGTTGTTTGTTTATGCTTAGTTAACAAAGTCTTGATTTTTAAATTCGAAAACACTTGGTCAATGTTTTTGTCTTTTGTATGTTATCCAAATGATTACTCAAACCATTTTTTATAGCAATTTTTGCACATTATTAAATGATACAATGAGTGATTAAGGGAATGAGTAAGTAACATCGTGACGATGGTGGTGGAGTCGTCGTCGTCTCCGATCATACCTGGCTTGACGGATGACGTGGCAGAGCTCTGTGTCTCGAAAATCCCGAGGTCTAGCTTTCAGATCACTTCTCAGGTGTGCCGGCGATGGAGGTCATTCCTCAGGAGCCAGCATTTTGCAGCTGTTCGAAAGTTGACCGGAACGGTGGAGGAGTTCCTGTGTGTTCTAATGGAAAGCGAGTGTGGAAGAGACGTGTACTGGGAAGTTTTTGACGCCTCCGGGAACAAGTTAGGCCAGATCCCTCCTGTCCCTGGGCCCTTGAAGCGCGGTTTCGGCGTTGCAGTGCTTGATGGCGGGAAGATTGTGTTCTTCGGAGGATATACGGAGGTGGAAGGCTCTGGCATCAATAGCACCACTGTCTCTGCCTCTGCTGATGTTTACGAGTTTGATCCTGCTAATAACAGGTCTCAATCTCAATCTCTCTTTCATTAATTCTCATACAATCTGGTCAAATGTGGCATTCCATGATGATTTTTTTTTTTTTTTGAATTTTGAGGAATCAATGAATGAATGAGTGAGTGAAGATTCTTTTTGATTTTAAGTTTCTGCATGATTGTTAGACAAAGCAATTCAAGAATGAAATTCTTATTCAGTTTGGGATTCTATAACTAAGAAAAGACCTAAGCTTCTCTGAAACCATAATTGGTATTAGAACTGTCCAGTCTGGTTGTATTCTGATACTATGTCGAAATATATTTGCAGCTGGAGAAAACTTGCGGGAATGAACATACCACGTTACAACTTTGCATTTGCTGAAGTGAACGGTCTTTTGTATGTGATTAGAGGCTATTCCACAGATACTTATAGCCTTTCCAACGCGGAAGTATACAACCCGAAAACTAACCAATGGAGTCTTATGCATTGTCCAAATCGCCCTGTTTGGCGCGGCTTTGCATTCGCATTCAGTTCCAAACTCTACGCTGTAGGTAGGAGACAATGGACTCATATTAGATTCCAAGGTACATTGGGTTAAACTAAGTTTGATGATATATTTTTAGGCAATGGTTCGAGGTTCATCGACATATATGACCCGAAAACGCAGACATGGGAAGAGTTAAACTTGGAGCAATCAGTGTCGGTGTATTCCTACACAGTTGTGAGGAACAAAGTGTATTTCATGGACAGGAACATGCCGGGACGTCTGGGAGTATTTGATCCAGAGGAGAATTCGTGGAGTTCAGTGTTTGTGCCTCCGAGAGAAGGGGGTTTCTGGGTGAGACTAGGAGTATGGAACAATAAGGTTCTACTGTTTTCACGGGTTTGTGGACATGAGACCTTAATGTACGACCTTGATAAAGAGAAAGGTTCCAAATGGAGAGTGTGTGATCAGATTAAACCATCTGCTTCTCAATTGGCCAGCGTTCTCATCAACTTCTGATCTTCTCTTTTAACTTCATTCATCTGACGTTTTGGAGCTGTGAGTTTTGTGTTTAGCCAAAATGTCACCAATTTCTCAACTTTGTGAATGATTCTTGTATTTGCTGTGTATTGCTAATCTCCTGTACATATGTTTTTGCGATGATTTTGTATCGCTTTGCTTTTGAGAGATACATTTTTTACTATTTACATTGCCATTCTTAATCTAAGCTCTCTGTTTTCTGACCGTT